ATAAAGTAAATGTGGACTACTATTTAACATAAAGAAGAATGAAATCCTATCATCTGCAGCAAAATGGATGGAATGGGAGGAAATAGTTTTAAGTGAAATAAACAAGCACAGAAAATAACTACTGTATGATTTTTGTCATATGTGAAAGTTAAAGGACATGAGGGAAGTGGAGAGAAAGAGAGAAAGAGCAAGCCAGCTGGAATAGATTAGTGATTACTAAAGGTAGGAAGGAGGGTATGGAGAAAGGAGACTGAATTTGGTCAGTGTATTCTATAGGCATGTGTTGAAATATCACATCAAGCCTCATAAACATGTATAATTCATACATGTTGATAAATATTTAAAAAAAAAAATAGAAGAGAGGAGTGGGGAAAGAAGATAAAGGAAATAGGTCACATCAACCTAACTGATACAAATATTTATCTCCTCTATGTCCTCCTCTTTCCCTTCTCTTAAAACATTACTTTATGAAAGGGGAAAATTCCTTTACAAGAATGTTTGTGAATTACACATGCAAAAAGATAAGTTTCATTGTGCTGTTATTCTCCAAAATACTTAAAAATAATATTTTTAAAAGACTCTTGTTTTTGCCTATCTCAAAAATACTTTGATAACAGAAAATCATTTCTGGTTTATAATTCTTATCAGCAATATCACTAATCAACATTTAGTTCTGCTGATGGTGGGCCCTCTGCACATTGTCACTAAATGGACCCATCTCATACCTTTCACTTTCATTACCCCTTCTGCCTAGACTGTTCCACTCCAGCAGTTTCTTTGCTGATGAGTTTGCTAAGTTCCTGATAGCTCTCCTATTATTCTCTGAGGCTGCACTGAAAGCTCACCACTTCCAGGAGTTATTTTTTTATATATTCCCTTAATCAATCTATTGTCAACTCCTGTTTGCCATTTATGCCTTATTACAGTATATATATATATATATATATATATATATATATATATATATATATATATATATATATATACAGTTAGATTGCAATATAGATATGTGTGTAAGATCTGTCTCAAGCTCTAAAAAATTAGGGCATATAATGTGTGTAGAATCTGTCTCAAGCTCTTGAACTCAATACATGTACATCCCCAAAGTGTCCAGGAAAATATCTGTCTATAATAGATAAGCAATGTACTGGTACATTATTAAAGTGAATAATTTATATGTTAAATTGAATAGCTAAAGAATGTGCTAATTAATTATCTGAATGAGCTATGATGTTAGAAAACAACATTGTGTGTTATTTCTTCAAGATTTTGTTTGCATTACAGTCCAAGGTTTTTCCTTTACTAGCTGTCTTTTCAGAAATACAAATTTTCTGATCATATCATTGGATGGACAAGCAACTGGTCAGGAAGGGAGAGAGGAATTACACCTTGCCAAGCCAGATAAAACATTCTAATTCACACTTGATGTTCCTGACCTCCAAGTTGCTTTTAGTTTTCTAAAGGCCTTTTAGTTCCCTAGTTAATAATAACACTTAATTTCTCCTCTATATTTATTCTGAAGTATGTAGAAATAAAAATTGAAATAAATTAAAGGAATTATACTAACATTTGTAGCAAATGGAGACTTCTGCTGAGTGTGGCCACCCTGATCCCAGAAATAGCTTATACTTCCTTCTCTTGGAGAATTTTTACTCTAAAAATGTATTTCTATTAAGGACATCTCTGCTGGGTTTCCCCGATTGCTTCTATATATTCCAAGCCCTATCCTTTATAGCATCTTCTTAGTATAGTTTAAAAAAATATATATGCCATTTTATTTTCTCCTTAGCCAACTCTCTCAGCAGAAAAAGCTTTAACCAAGGATTAATTCTTACACTTTGTGTAAATGTTCGGTATGAATTCAGGTATAGTGAACAACCTGGTCTTCTTACTGTTTCTGTTCTGTTGATTCATTTGTTTTAATTGGACCATTAAATTTAAAAAAAAGGACTTCTGTGTTTAGCTCTGTGGGTTTTAAAGGGCAAAGATGTCACGGAGCCCAATCTTTGGTCTGTGTTTCTCAGAGCATACTGAGCAATTTCTGAAAGGTTGATCTCACTCTGAGGACTAGTCACCAAAAATGAAAGAAAGAAAAAAGAAAAGAGGGGAAAAATGGGTGAGAAAAATGTCCCTTCTCCGACTACCTGTGATTTCTGCACAGAACAAACACAGAATAAGACTCAGAAATGGGCCAGGGAGTATGCATCTAGGACCACATAGGTGTTCCTCAGTGTCTGCAGCTGCAGCTTCTACTTTGAGCCTGCTGAAACTTGATTCTAAGTGTCTCTGAAAAGCCACTGAGGAGTTTGTGTTAGCCAGAGGCCACGAAAGCTGCCATCCCCAGCTGAGTGATGCTCTGTTCAAACTGGGCATAAACCCAATTTGAACAGAGAATCTGTTTTCTTCCCTGCAGTTTCAAAGGGCACATTTCTGTTTGCTCCCTTATGTGCAGGGGTAAACTGGGAACAATAATATTCATTTATAAAGGAAATAATAATGTTAATTATTATAACTAAGTGCTAGTAAATACCTAAGTAGCAGCGATATGGAAGTGTATGGGTATCTGAAGTGCCATGTATTCTAGTCCCTGCTTAAGAGAGGCACATTTGTCAGAAATTATTTAACATTCAAGAACTAAATACTTTAAGTACAAAAGTAACACAGAGCATTCTGGATATTCTCCAATTCAAACATTGTGAGATACCTATATCCTTGTGAGCCCTTATTCAACACAGTCTTGAGTTAACTGAATATTTCTCACTCCCATTATTTCTTCTGTCTTATTGTGTTTTCATCTCGTTCTCTTTAATTCATCTACACACAAACACACACACACACACACACACACATACATTTTGGATAATTCCTTAAATTATTCCAGACATTCTTCTAGCAATGCTTTTTAATTTTCTTTTCATTTTCTGATTTGCAATGTTGGCACTCTAATACAAAGTTCACATCCTGGACCAAGCCTTCTATTAGTGGATGTCTGGGCAGACTCCCAATAAAGCTGAGCAGCTTCAGTATCATTAGTGGGATGATGGTATTTCAGTCCTCTTCCTTTCATTCCTCTTTAGTTTACTATCAGTGCCACTGAGCTTAATGAACCAAAACGCCTGCTCATGCATTAAAAATGGAGAGGGGCATTCTGCCCTGAAAAAAAAAAATGCTATGTTCTATTTTCTACAGCAGACATTTTTTTAGCAAACATTAAGTAGGAAAGGAAGCATGAGAGTATTTCTGTATTAGAGGGATGTTAGTAAAGGCAGTTGGAAATTTTCAAATAATGAATGTACAGATGTGCAAATACAGAGTGGTCTCAGAAATAACATGTATTTGTAATAATCTGAAGTCATTAAAAATACTATTAGTACTTGCTGTTGCTATACATAAGTAGTAATTATACTTGTTTTAATAAATTCAATACTAATATACTCAGAAGTGACTATTTTGTAGGAATTATGCTAGATTATTACCTAGATCTTCCATTTATATCTTTATGTCATTTTATTTCTGATTTTATAAATAGATTAGATGCTGAAATAGAGGCAAAATTCTAGCATACCGCTTTTGCTAAGATTACTGAATACTTAGTTGTGAAATGTGTCACTTTTCTACATAATAAGAATATCTGAAAAAAATCTATATTTGCAGACCTAATATTCATCATATCGCTTGTAAATTAAAGAATAACTATATGCATAATGTGTATTAAAATGATCCATTAAGCTACAGGTACTGCTCTGGAATGTTGGCCCCTTATGTTGTGACCCTTTATGTTACATCAAATCACTGTGGCATGGTTTTCCTGAACTCGGCTTGCAAACACCTCTGTCTGTGATGCTAATTCATTTTACTCACTTGCATCTCAGTGAAAGGGAAATAGGAGACCAGCAACTTAAAATTGGCAGTTTCATCAACTATATATTCATCTAACTTGGCTCTGCTGCACACTCAGGAAATGGACAGAAAACAGGGAGGAGACTTTTGAAGAGAAAGGTAGGCCTTAAGCATAGATATTTTTAATAGTAGCTGAGGCAAAGGGAATAAAAGGCAGGATGCAGAAAGAAAGGGTAGAGAAGGGGAAAGATAAACTAAAACTATCTTGTAATTTTGCTTCATTTTTTAGTAAACAAACTTGTTTTTGCCTTTCTACACCAATAAATGCATTGTACAGCTTTTTAAAAAAAAAAATTTCCCAACATTTGGAATCTCTTAAAAGCAGTCCGTTCTCCTCCTTTTGAGAGCTGTGATTTTCCTACAATAATTTTCTATAATTGTGCCAAAGAACTAAAAATAAAAATGACATGAGAAGTTTTGCCACAGTGAGAATCACAAGCTCAATTGTAGAAATGAGTCATCATCTTTGAAATTCAGGAAGATATATCCAGGTTAGGAATTTCACTGTTCTGATTGCCTTCCTCCTGCCTGTGCTGGTTGAGATATAAAGTCTATGGTACAGTTATCAATAACTGCTAGGAACTCTGGCCATAATCGAGTAGATAGCTGTAATGTACTATCGTATTGAGAAAGTAAATGTGGTAAGAACCATAACAGGCTGAGGTTTACTGAGAAAGTCCTGATTACTGTGCAGGCTGAGTACTTCTGATCCAGGGCCAAGGCTGCACAAAGCAGTTATAGAATTTATTGGATTTATTTAAACTAAACATATATCTAGCTCTCTTCATTTTATTTCTCTTCATCATGCAGCAGAACATAATTTTTTTGGTTTATCACAAAACTTCTGTCTGTTCCATCCTTTAAGTCATTTGTCACACTTCTCAAGGTCACTGGAGAGCCTCATAGGAAAAGTGTTGTTGTGGATTGATTGGTTCTGTGATGTTTATGCCTATAGGTGCTGGTAAATGAGCCTTTTGTATTTTCAACAAAGTGACTAAAGAACAGGGAAGAAATAAACTTGTGAATCCTGTTAATAAGAAACTTGAAGTATTCTCCCTGTAGACCTTACTTCCTTATATCCCAAGCCCCCTTTCACTTACTCTATGTTGCAAATGAGGACTTTACCCTAGGATCCTTAGTACAAGGAGAGCAGACACTCTGTTTCTAGAATTAAAACATTCAGCAGTATATTAGTCAACACACACTTTCTTTTTCTCTTTCTGCTACTGCTCTATTGCATTCAGAGAAACACATTCCATCAAACAAAGTTCTCTCCTGCTGAAACCCTGTTTTACTTAACTATGTACATCAATTTCTGGCGAAGAGAAAAAAAAAAAAAAGGAAAAGTGCTCCAATTCTGTGAAGCAGAGGAAACAGTGTGTTTGAGAACAGCATTTGGATGTATCTGTTTATTGAATTTAATCAAGTACATATCATCTGGGTAATGGTTTCTGGCTTTTCTTAACTATTCAGTAAACAGAAAGATATGCAAGAAAATGCATCATTTCTAGCAACTATGGGCTTTATTTTGTAATTCTAAGACAATCTCTGATATCTGGAAATCATTAGGTTTATGAATTCTCCATGTTACCAATAAAAGATGTTGGGTGATAGGTGGAAGAGAAAAAGACTCCCTCCAGGTGAGGCAACAGCCTTATTTCTTCCTTTCTCCATGGCATCATGATTACATTGCTTTCAATGTGCGTCAGCGATGACATTTTCTCCCAGCTGAATTTTTTAAATGTCAGATTCGTTGAATTATGATTTGCATGCAGCAAAAGCCACCCCTTTAGGAGTGGTGTTCTATGAGTTCTGACAAACACACAGTCATAGAACCTAAAACAGTTAATTATGCTCAGCTTGATGAAACTTCTTTTTCAAGTTTCAAATAGGCTCCTTCTTGATTCTAGGCCTTCCTTTTGTTATGGGTTATTCTATAAAACTTACAATTGTAAATTATTTCTTTCCTAATTTTATATGTAGTTTTTGCCCTTTTTAGAACCCAGAATCACCTTTCTCAAGGACTAGAAACCATCCTTTTGAAGTATACTGACCAGGAAAGATGGTACCACTATCTCCTAGTTATCCTGAGAAGTCAAGGGACTCACTAGATAAAAAGCCAATTAGCAAACTCAGATAGCCTAACTACATTGACCAGCCTCCCACCTAAAGTCATCCAGTACTTTTCCACTAGCTCACCCAAGAGCTTTAAATTCTCCTGCCCTTTGTTTCAGTGAACTTCTGGTTCCATATCCTTCACCTATTGCAATAGTCTTAAATAAAATCTCCCTTACTTCTTTAATTCTGGTGGTTCAAGTTTCTTCTAACATACCACTATTACAATAAGTTATGGAACATCAATATTACCACTGAAATGCCCAGTGCTCCTTTGTAGTTAATATCTTCCCTCAAGTTCAACTCCTGGCAATTATTCTCACTTTTGTCCCTATAGCTTTGTTTTTTCTAGTTTGTCAGTGAACTGAAATCCCACAGCATGTTGCCTTTTTTATCTGTGATTTGTTTGTTCACTTATCATAACACTATTGAGATTCAATATGCTTCTGCATGCATCAATGGTTTATTTTTTATTGTTGTAAAGTATTACACTATATACTACCACAATTTATCTATTTTTCCAATTCATAATTAGAATTTGACTTTGGCTTTCGTTGTATCAATACTTGTCTTATTTAAGACATTACTCATCATATTCTGTTTTCTAGATATATTCTGAATTGAGATTAGACTTGCCAAAATGGATTTTGCTTTTTCCTTCCCACAAAAAGCTGAGATTTTCCATGGTCTCAACTAAAAGACTTCTTATATATCTAGGTCAATAAAAGAATAAATAAACCAGCAACCACTTTGAAAACAAAAATAAAACTCTTGTAAATTTTTAGAAAAAACAACACATGTTTATAAATTGCTCAAAATTAAACAGCAATGTGAGATTTGCTAAAATTTTATCGTAGCCATTTTTTTTTTGCATAGATGTTGTGTCCTAAATAGTCATCAAGTAAAAATTGAGGTAATTCAGCCAGATAGTATACTTCAAAGCAGCTTAGCTTCCAAGCCAAAAATATATAAATAATTATACACCCACAGAATAGGGGTATTAGACTATGAGATAAATGTGAAAGAATATAAGCTGCTTCTTCAAAATATGCTTTAAAAAATTCCTATTTCTGTATGTGGGCTAAACTTACATATGTAGTATATATTAGATGTGTGAACTTCATTATTTTAGAATTCATTATAAACTTTGTATGCATTATGCTTTGTTTTTCTGTGGTTTTTGCTGTTATTTCTTGTCTTCTTCTCAGACTTTATCTGGCACTGAGTAGAATTATATGGGAGACTATGAATCTTGGGGCATTAGGGGACTTGGTCTTCTCAAGCTAGAAAAAAAAAAAATTCTTACTAAGAAGTTTCCTATGGCATTCCCATCACTTTTATTCCAATTCTATAATGTAAACATGTAAGCTGGCATTTTAAAACATTAAATAAGATTTAACCAAATTATTTTTTTTCTGCTAGTCTCATGTTACCCTCTCATGTGGTATCATTCATGGTCTAGACCAATATTCTCCCAAGAATGGGTTATATGATATAGGTGTTCTTCGAATGTGATTTTCTAGTTACATGATTTTACAAGTGAGTGAGTTAATCAAATGAAGATAGATCAATTGACTATGTGTGTGTTAAATGTATGTATATGGAAATTCATTTGTGAAACACCAAGAGGAAGTATTGATAGCAAACTTTCTAACCTTGTTCAGTCTAGACAAATGATTCTGTAAACACAGGTGAGCAAATGCTGGTCTGGGACTGGGAGCTGACTCGCAAGAGAGGGAACTGATGAAGTAGAACAGTACTGTATCACACTGAAAGTCAGAAGGCTGGTGTCAATCCTGGACTGGCTGCCATCTTTGTCAGGAGTCCTAGATTGGTGACTCAGAGCACAGCCTATGTGCATTTGAATCCTTTACAGAACCTTATTTCCTAAGATGACTTTGTGCTAGGTACCTCTCTATGTCCTCATCTATTGAATCTCAAGGAGTTGGAGATTTTACCTCAAGGAGTTGTCAGTTCAGTTGATAAAATAAAAGTGCTTTTGAAAAGTACCTGATAAATGATAAGTTGTAAATATGAGTCACCTTTTTCTTTCTTTCTTTTTTTTTTTAACCAGTGTTTTTTTTTTTTTCCTTCCCTCCCTCCCTTTCTTTCTTTCACATATTTATTTGGGGCAAGGGATTGAACCCAGGGCCTTGCACATGGTGACTTAGCACTATGCTACTGATCTACACCCACAGCCATTATCATTGGTTTTCAAACTTTGAACCTTGACCCACAATGACCAACCCACACTGTGACCCAGTATAAAAACACATATATAGGAAAGTAAATACTCCAAACTTATAGGTTAAGTGAAATAATTCTTAGTTATGCTATACATCATAGGGTATAATATTTTCTGTTCTCATTCTCTTCTATTTTTTTTTCACTTATTCTCTTTGTCTCCTTACTCTCTTCCATTCTACCCAACTTATTCTATCCTACACAACTTACTATATTCTGCTGTCTTCTGTTCCATTAAAAAAAAAAAAAAAACCCAAAAACCTGTCTTGATCCTCAGAATGCAAGACATTAATTTTGCTCTATGACCTGCTAAGCATCATTAAAACTCTACCTTCAATCCTTCTATCTATACTCATTAAAAAACTTATTGGATTTGAAATGTTTTCAAAAATTCAGATTTAGAGTCTATCCCTGAGCTGCTGAATAGGGATCTGCTGGTGTTTTTAGCCCCAGAATCTTTCTCTATTTCTCTCTCATATATACGATTCTGCAGACAATGAATGATCTTTTAGATTTCTTCTAATTCTACAGTTAAAAAAATAACACTTAAAGAGAAGGCCTCTGCTTAATTTTTTACTTTTTAAGATTTAGTTTGTATTCAATAAATACAACACATACTTATATTCTGACATAAATTCGCCATCTAAACAGATCTAGAGAAAATAAAATTTCAAGAAATTATTCCTTGATAATTAGGATAATTCCATGTAGCTTCCTGTATTTGTCAATAAGTGTTAACACTCTTAAAGTTATTAAAAGTAACAACTAAAAACAAGTCAAAGTTGATTTATATAGTTTATGTTGTCACTTTCGTTGGCATAGATGAGTTATTTGAAACATTTAAAATTGGTCTAACATTCTTCTGCTTGAATCTGCTTGTTCTATAGAACAGATAAGAGCAGTTATAATTCTACCTCCATTCTAACAGAGTTTGATGACACAACAAATTGTATGTCAGGCCTTCTGAAATAGTCATTACTTGAATGTAGAGTATAACAATATTTATGTTTTATAAATATTCAAATGTCATTGCAAACATAAAAATCTATTTCATTGTTAGGATTTCTGTAGTGTGGATCACAATTTAGAACATATTTACAAATATTATACATATTATCAGTTATTAGGTACATTATTAGTTATCACATATTAAAACACCATTTTAAATGAATGTTTTAGAATTAAAATGAGGATTTTATAGTGTGAAATACTTATGTAAAAAATATTTAACTTGATTGGACAATATGTACTTCTAATAATTGGTACTTGGAGTTTCCATCAGATATCTAGATCATTTAAAGAGTTCATAATCAGCAATAAATGCAAATAAACTTCCTTCATTATTACTTCAACGTAAGCACACATTTCTAAAAATCACAAGGAAGTTTTTTTTTTTTTTTCCATTTCTATATGTTCTATGACCATGAATTCTAGAAGTATTCAAAAACAAGTCTTTCTGGCAGGCTTTCTCATTAGTGTCCATGTACATGGACATAACCTTCTGACAACTCTACATAATTATGTTAACCCCACAAGCAAATGCTTGAGGGCTTTAATCAAAAGAGATGCAACCTCAATTGCTTTAAAATGAACTTGGGAGGTGGCTGTATCTTTCTGTGATTCTCACAGTCCTGTATAATGCATTGTCATTTTATGAATGAGCAAGGCTTCCATATTCATTCAACAGATTTATACCCTTTTAATTCCACCTTTTGGGGTTTTTGTTAGTTTGTTTGTTATATTTTCATATCTTCAGGATCTTTTGGTGATAGATGCCATGGTTGTCACTTGTTTGAAAGGCTCTTTCCCCTCTTTTTCTGCATTCCGTTCTCTCCACAAACAGCTGTATCACACCTGTCATTCTGAATGGTAAAGATGTCTTTGGCTGGTAAAACTGTGCCTGTGGTGCACAGAGTGGCGTTAAACAACTAATTAGCAGAAGTTGGGCCATCATAAGGTTTGGGGCTGTCCATCAAGCCTGTGACCACTGCTGACACCATCAGCAAAATTGTCAAAAGTGGTTCTTCCTGTGAATACAACCAAGTCCACTTGTTCTGTGGTGAAGAAAGAATTGGCAGAATGTGTTCATTAAAAAGTAAAAGAAGGTGATGGCCAATCTTTACATAGTGCTAAGTAATTGAAAAAATACTAAACAGGTAGAAAATTTATTAACTGATTCAATTGTATCTATTGAAGAAATATAGGAAATTGAGCTTAAAACTTCTTCATAAAGCTACCTACATTATTCAAGTACATTATTGTACCTTTGAAAAACAATACTGAGGTGCATATCTTTTAGTATTTAGGGACTGCATGATAACAGAATTAAAGCAGGAATATGTACTTATCTAGTGAGCCAACTGTTAACCAACATGCTTTCTCTACTGGTTGTTATATATGCAATCTTTCCCAGTGAGTGACTGAGATGTAGCACATTATTCATCATTTTTTCTCAATTCATTCCATTTTTAGGGCAAATCTGTATGTTACCAACAATAAAAATATTTTGATATGTCATGAATTATTTCTAAAATATGTATGCAAGAATATAGGCATTTAATGTGTGAGGGTGTCTTTGAGTATATATTTTAACTCATGAGATATTTTAGAAAAGTCTTGTTTTTATGAAGAAAATGAAAATAAACTGGTTTATTTTAATTTAGTTAATTATTAGTAAAATAAATTATTAAATGTAAATACGTTTACACTCTCAAATGTTATGACAAAAAATTGTAATTGCTGTGAAGTGATTCACTCATTGATTATTTTAATTTTTTAATCACCTACAACACCTTGTCTAAAGACTAACATTTATTTATCAAAAACTATGTATATTATAGTCCATCAAGAACAAGAAAATGCAGGTATATGATATTCATAATATAGCAAAAACAGTATGTAGTGTATTTTTTTTTTTTAGAAAACAAAAGATAAGACAAAAGCAAGTAAGACTAAAGAAATGAATGGTTTGGTTTTAATTTTCTTTTTGTGTTTGACAAAAAAAGATAACATTATCATTTTCATTCTACTCTGCGCCACTGGTTGGTGACCTAGACTCCAACCAACAGGAAGGGGTTATATTTACCTTGGAAACTATTGTCTTGAAATAGGTTATGAATGTAAAATTTAATACATATAGTAATATGGAACAGAATTAGCTTTATTCATTTACGTTCTCTTCCCACACACTCTTCTTAATCACCATATGACATATTTGTATTCTATTATTTGCCTTACAATATTTGATACAAATGATATTTTTATGAAACCAATTGAAATTTAACTTGTATGAATTTATTAATCCAGAAAAACTTATGTTATAAATTTATATAAAATGTCAGAAATATGTTCCTTATCAAAATGGGTTTCTCAATTTTGCTGGGGAGATTTAAAGTAGTGGTCCATCCTAGGATATCTTAATCAACCATCTGCACCTATGAATTTCACACCCATGAAAACTGCCACCTTTCCAAGGTCTGGCAGCTAAAATTCACACTCATTTTAAACCCTTCCTCCAATCTTCTAACTCTTAAAGCTAAGATTTCCATCTGACATTGATTTTCGGATTTCATTTCTACAAGGGAAGTCTTATCTCAAAAACTCATACACTGAACACCAAACCATTTTGTAAAAATTCCTTAGCTCAAGCATCAAAAACAGTGACAGGGAACAGCTACTCATACTGAAATGCAGCCTTGTGTAAATTCCAATAACTATGAGATATTTTCATATAGATTGCAGAATATATAGATTGCGGAATATAGACAGTAAAATCTCTGTATTCTGTGCTGTTTCATGGTAAAGAAACCGGATATAGCAAGAGGGAAATGAAAATAAAATTTATAGAGCAAAGATGTGTAGTAAAGTATATATGCACTTGGGTTTCAAAATAATACATACTTTTTCATTTCTGTGGTTTTATTTTAACCATTTTGGTATTCTGGGTATCAGATGACAGAGGTATGCCAGGAAGAGAAATCTTGAACATGACTGTTAGTTTGAATTCCACACTGTATTTGAATCCTGATTTAAGAAAGAGCTTCAAATATGAACCATTTTCTTTGACACTTGCTTGGAAAAACACTTTTTATGCAGTTTGACAAGAGAATCATATCACTCCAAGATCAGAAATCCAAATCAAATTCTATTGCTATCAATAGTTATCACTTTGACCTAGACCAACTATTCTTTCTCCTGTCTTCAGGTTGTATCTCAGTAATATTATTATGTAATTTCGGACAATCAGCTGTGAGAGTTTGTATGTTTGTTTGTAATTAAGACAGCATCACATTAGTTATCTTTGCAATTTTTGAACTTGTGATTGTTATTATATTTCAACCCCACTAACTAATGTCTGAATTTTGATAAGTTACATAACCTCTATGTCTCAGTTTTCCCATCTGCAAAATAAGAATAATAATTATACCCACCTAATAGGGTTGTTGTCAGGGTTAAATAAGCAATATTTCAATAATTATAAAATAATATTCCTTTTTCTAACATATCTCAAAGCAAGATGCATGTTAAAGAAATCATAAATAAGCATTTATCAGGATTTAATTGCTTACATTTTTCCGTGTTGGCAATAAGTTGTAGAATTATTATATTTAGTGATAAATTAGAAGAATTATAGTAATTCATATAAAATTTTTAGAGTAGTGTCTAGAACAAAACTATCTCAATAGCTGATGTGAACATTTCTCTCTAAATGATGACTATCATACCTAAATTAAAAGTGATAGATTAAGAATGATAAGTTAATGATAAAAATCTTGCTAGTTACATCAGTCTACATATATCACCTATGTTCAGTGAGAAAATTGAATACAAATATAAGCACAAACATACATGTACATTGTATTTATCTATCTTTGGATCCTCAGTATGTTATGAGAAGCAGCATATATATTTTATTAATTGTTATTAGAATAGATAACCATGTGATATAATTTCTTGTAAGTACCTCATTGTATTGTGCACCAATGTGAATATGCATAAAACTATGGAACAATATACTTAAAAATGGCATAGATGATAAATTATGTATTTTATAACACTGTTTAAAAACAAAATAGAATGAAAGATTACAAATTTCTATATCCAGCTGTGGTGGAATAATTGGTTACTGAATTGCTCTCCTAAAATAATGGAAAAAGAAAAAAAAACATGGATGATTTTTCCATTTTATTGTAGATGAATCCATGTTTTTTTAAAGTAATAGTTTTTTTAAGGTAAAACAAGCATGGAAATATATCAAATTGAGGAAAAGTAGTTTAAAAAGGAAAAGATCAATTAAACTGCCAATTTAACTAGATTACACCAGGAAACATTGTCTCCTCTGTCTACCTTGAGTAAACGGGGATGAACAAAATCACTCCTCCAAACAAAGAGATGTGCATATGCTTTAGCTCAATTAAAAAAAAAAGGAAACTTCTAAGTCCAAAAGAAAGTCATCCATTAATTTCTCCAAAACTAGGTTTAGAAAAACATCATTTTTTATTCAGTGTCAAAAATAACTATTTAGCAGTTGGACTATTAACCTAGAGAAAAAGTTTACTATTGATTTTTTTATAAACGTATTTACTTAAAACTAATGTAAGCACCAATATTTAAATGTGATAATAAAAGAGATCAGCAAAGAAAATATCTATAAAAGTTAATATAGAGCATTTAAAATCATGAGGAAAATGCAAATCACTCAGTACTAAGATGGTCTCAATAGAGATACAGCATACCTCGTAATGGCTTTCTTCACTCTCCTGAATGTGGAAACCCGCAGAGCTGGGATAATTCTGAGGAGTGACAGGAATATTGTCACTTTTGCTGTGTGAGTTACACTGAAAGAGATTACCAAATAATTGTGACAAACCACTCTACGTTTAGAGTGTCTACTGATGTCTACTGAGAGACAAGACTGTTTGCTATGAGCCTAATAATGGAATGCCATTGGAGCTAACACGTGTCTACACTAGTAGATACATGCATTATTAGCAAGCTTTTACAAAAAGGTAAAAAATATACTCCAGATAAACAAATTGTCAAACTGTTTTTACAAAACTGAATATATGGTTTCGTATTTTTAAAGCAGTATTTATCTATTTATTTATTTATTATTTTTAAAGACATTTTTTGGATGTTGATGGACCTATATTGTATTCATTTATTTATTTTCATTGCTGAGAAAAGACCCCAGTGCCTCACACATGCTGGGTAAGCGCTTTAACACTAAGCCACAACCCCAGCCCTTAAAGCAGTATTTATTTATGAAATGTATGACTTCAGTAGGTAATTACAGGGTGCTACTCTCTGTGGGAGGTAGGACCTAAGAGCTTGATTGATATTATATAAATATTCACTTCTAAAATAGATATCAAAATTATTCCACTTACCAACGGTAATATGAGGGCATAGTATTATTTTTCCCCACAAGGCCATGTTCGTATTTTTTCTTTTTTTTTTTTTTGTTTGCCAACTATTCCATATTTCCTTCTATAGCACACAAAGGCCTTTATAAATGGTATATGTGAAAAAGATAAAACTGATAAAGTTTAGTATCTTAAAATATTAGTTCACTTTTCCTGTTCTAAATATAATGTATTTTTAAAAAACAAGTTAACTAAAATAATTCACTTGGAAGTGGATGTGAATTATAAAGCCTAAGATATTAAATTATGCTTGGCCTTTCTCTGTAAAAATGTTAAAATGGGTGCTTTCCATATTCCTTACAAGAGCTTTCCATATGAAAATAAAACATATAAATTTCTAAGTTCTTTGTTTCCTTCTTCCTTAAATCTCTTCACAGTGTCAAGGCAATATATTGTTTTTTGGTGTGTGTGTGGCGGGGGGAGTATCAGGGGTACTCACACTCTTAGCCACATACCCAGCCCTTTTTTATTTATTTTTTATTTTTTTTATTTTGAGACAGGGGCTTTGTAAATTGCTTAGGGCCTCCCTAAATTGCTGAGGCTGGCTTAGAACTTGGGATCTTCCTGCCAACGCCTCCTGAGCTACTGAGATTACAGGCATGCATCACCTTGCCCAGCAAGGCAATACATATTTAAAAGTATTGCTTCTTGGGCATTTGTATGGCATAACTTTGTAATATCTAAGTTTTCTATTTTAATAAAAAGATATTGTGTTTCCTCCAGAAGAGGTGCATCATTGACATATATCCTTTCTTCATCCATAAGATACAATACATGCACGCACAAGTTTTTATATTAAGGGGAAACAAACTATTTTTTTTTCAAACTAGTATGCCATATTTTCTCTAATTAATAAAATGTTACTTTACCTATCTCAATGAAAAATCCTTTAGGAATTTACTGTTAGAAATATTTTTAGAGGTTGGAGGGGAATGGAAGGGGCATGGGATTAGAAATGATGGTGGAATGTGATGGTCATTATTATCCAAAGTACATGCTTGAAGACGAGAATTGGTGTGAATATACTGTGTACACAACCAGAGATATGAAAAAATTGTGCTCTATATATGTAATAAGAATTGTAATGTGTTCTGCTGTCTATGTAAATTTAAAAAATATATTTTTAAACGCAAATTACTTTTAGAATTTAGTTTATTTAATTCACTGTATTTTCACTTCAGGACCATTATAGTAAACATTTAAATATACTTTTAAACACTGGATATCAAAAGGGTACACTTGTACATTGCTGGTGGGACTGCAAATTGGTGCAGCCAATTTGGAAAGCAGTATGGAGATTTCTTGGAAAGCTGGGAATGGAGCCACCATTTGACCCAGCTATTCCCCTTCTCGGTCTATTCCCTAAAGACCTAAAAAGAGCATGCTACAGGGACACTGCTACATCGATGTTCATAGCAGCACAATTCACAATAGCAAGACTGTGGAACCAACCTAGATGCCCTTCAATAGATGAATGGATAAAAAAAAAATGTGGCATTTATACACAATGGAGTATTACTCTGCATTTAAAAATGACAAAATCATAGAATTTACAGGGAAATGGATGGCATTAGAGCAGATTATGCTAAGTGAAGCTAGCCAATCCCTAAAAAACAAATGCCAAATGTCTTCTTTGATATAAGGAGAGTAACTAAGAACAGAGTAGGGTCGAAAAGCATGAGAAGAAGATTAACATTAAACAGGGATGAGAGGTGGGAGGGAAAGGGAGAGAGAAGGGAAATTGCATGGAAATGGAAGGAGACCCTCAGAGTTATACAGAATTACATACAAGAGGAAGTGAGGGGAAAGGGAAAAATAATACAAGGGGGACAAATGAATGTCAGTAGAGGGGGCAGAGAGAGAAGAGGGGAGGGGAGGGGAGGGGAGGGGAGGGGATGGGGGATAGTAGAGGATAGGAAAGGCAGCAGAACACAACAGACACTAGTATGGAAATATGTAAATCAATGGATGTGTAACTGATGTGATTCTGCAATCTGTATATGGGGTAAAAACGGGAGCCCATAACCCACTTGAATCAAAGTGTGAAATATGATATATCAAGAACTATGTAATGTTTTGAACAGCCAACAATAAAAAATTAAAAAAAAGAAGAAGAGAAAACAAAACAAAACAAAAGAAATGTTTATGCAAAAAAATAAAAAATAAAAAATAAACACTGGATATCAACTGTTTTATTTATTTTTGTTTAAGAGAAAGAGCTATGCACATCTAGAAAGGCACAACTCAACTCTTAAACTCCAAACAGCCATATTATAAACATTTTATCATGAAAAATACTTTTTATGACTGTCTCCTTACAAACAACTTGATTTTAATCCTGTTCAAACCTAGTAACTCTATGTTACCTCTAGTAACTCTATGCAGGTAATTCAGTGAATGCAAGGACATTTTGCTTGCAACCTGGATAACATTTATGCATAGTTTGTAAAATTGTTGCTTTTGATCTCTTCCATGCTCCTAAATTTGTCTGGACAACTTCATTATTACCTATGAGGACCTTTCTTGGCTCTCTTCTCCATACCAGAAAAGTGGGGGTATGCCTTTAAAACAGTTATTTTTATCTTTAATGATTCTGGATATTTTAATTTCTCAAATTCTGTCCTGGCCTCTCCTCATAGGTATTCATGTTGATTGATTTTTTTTAAACATTTCATTTATTATGCAGTTTTTCTTCTAAGAAACATTTTCTAAATTCCTGTGTCCCAGCAGTTGTTCACACAACTGTTCTATCACCTGGGGAGCATCTTAAAAATGTCAATGACTGAGCCCTGCCTCACACCTCTTAAATTAGAGCACAGGCATAAGTATTTTTTAAATACTCATGTAATTCTAATGTGCAGCCAGAGTTAATCCCTGGGTTAAGATTAAAATTTCTATGATCCTCAGGACACTATTTTGAATCTTGGACTCACTCTTTTTTCAATCTGATATCTTTCTCCTCAGCGTTAGTTCTTTCTTTAACTCCTCATATTTTGCTTTGCTTTGTTTTTTCATGGATATATCATAATGTCTTTGAACCTAAAAACAACTTTTACCTGCATAATACTTTATACCTTCACATGAAAGAAACAATAAGTTAAACAGAATTCTCTACAGATAAGTAGGAATCCTTTAACAGATGGGGAATAGAGAGATTAAGAAATATCCATTGCCATTTAAGCAAGAATTTGCCCAGTAAAAGCACTCCTAAGTGACAAGACTTGGGTCGTTCCCACTCTGCTAACATCTCCCTCAATGGGTTCATCTATTTGCACATTCACTCATTTATTCTGGTCATTTGCTCTTTGACTGATATTCAATCATTTGCTGATTGCATACCATATTAGGATTTTACTAGCTCATCAAGATAGGGCATTTAATATCGATAATAGTCCCACCCTAGCAGTGAAACCATACATGGAAACAGATTGCAAGGAAGAAAAAATAACTAAATTATTAGATTTGAAACATGGTTAGAGTCTTGAAAGATCAGCTGATCAGAAGAGAATGGTTAGCATGCATTCAAGACACAAGGACCTACATATACAAAGGCTGGAAAAATGAATTATCAAGAGCCATGAGAAGTTTCATAGTATTTCGACCACAGAGCATGTGAAGATGGATTTAAGCATAGACAGAAGTCATTAGTGCATTAAAATCAACATAGAACCAATGAGACATTATAGAATTGGACTTCATATAAGGGGTGACTACCCAGTGAGGGTGCCATTATTTCTTTGCTTCCAACCATACCCCAAAGAAACATGAAACATGAGCAAAATGAATGTATTTGAAAAAGGACTATGACACTGAGGAAAGTTCTCCCATCCCAGCAAAATTCTACCAAACCTCTCCTGTGTCTAATTTCGGTGCATCCTCTACTTGCAGAATAGTGAATGCTAAATTCTCAAAGAAAATATTTAACCCACTGTTACTCCCTCACTTTTTAGAATATTTGAGAGTTATGATGTAAATTGCTTCTAGGAATTACAAAGCTATAAATCAGAGCAAAACAATTAAAGTATCATTGAAAATAATATTTTGAGATCAAATATTATAACTAGCCAAAACATTAAGGAAAAAAATCTAAAGGAAAAATCAATTTAATCACAATGAATCCTTCCAAACAAGTTTCTACCTCAGGAAGAGTTGCTATCTAAAACAGATTTATTTTAAAAATTTTAAGATTTTTTTCCACCAAAAATGTTTACTGTTTGCCAAATTAATGACTATATAATGAACTATGCTTAAAATGGATTTGCTAAATCAGATTTAATATTGCAAGGTGCATATGGAAATCAAACTTGAGAGTTCTGCAGCTCAATAACAACAATCATATTAAATGGAAATTACTGAAACTACATTTGTTTTATACTTTAAAAACCATTTGATGCTTTCCTTTACCTGTGATT